CTGACGACATTTCCTTAGCCAGTTACACAGCGGTATTAAACTTCCGTAAAAATTTGTTTCTTAGTGCTTTACTACTGCACTTTTTTTTCTCATAAATGCACCTCTTATTGCCTTCTATAATGAAGAAAAGAGACGGGTGGAGAGATGAAGGGAGAGTTGGGAGAAAAGTGAAAAAAAAAACCATAATTAATGAGTCATCAAACGGTCATTGAATATTTCAGGCAAACTCAAATGAACAGATGGGGTCGTCAAATGGAGTCTTACCGTTGATCATCTGTAGTAGTTGACAGAAAAAAAATTTCTCGATTGATATTGTGCAATGAGATCTGCAAAATAATGTGGCAAAAAAATTGAAAGTTTCGTAGTAAACCAAGTGGTAAACTAAAAATCCAATATTGTCAAAAAAATTTTTGCTTTATTTTTTTAACCCAAGTTATGGTTACCATTTTTTTACAGCTGTTTTTTTTTTTTTCACATTAAAACAACTGATTGAAATTACATTTGAGCTTTTTACGTAATATTTTTTGTAGATTTTCGCAGAAAAAAAATTTTTTTTTGTAATGGTTCAATACGTTGTTACCAATCATTTTGAGAGTGTCGGCTTTTAACCACCGTATTTTCTTCTTCGTTTTTCTTTTTCAAAGTTCAAAGACAGAAATTTTACAGAAAACTTAAATAAATTTACAGGTAAACAATTTCCAAAAATTACTGTAAACAAATTTCATCTGTACAATTAAATCTTTAATTTCTTTTCTTTCTTCAAACTTAAATTCACTGAATAGTTTTACTAATTAAAAAACTAGATTACAATTGAAAATCTATGTAAACCTGTCAACGATTATAGTTTCTCCGCTTTTCAATTAGCTTCAGTTCAGTTGCAGATTGATATCGGTTGTTGGTTTCTGGTTTTTCGGTCTATCCTTAATTTTTTCCAACATTTAAAAAGTAGTGTAACAGTTCTGTTATTTAATCAGATTCTTTTTCTTTTTTGTGTTCTATTATGGTAAAATTTTACGAAATTTTAGCGCAAACACCTATAGATAACAGAAGAAAAAACACGGAGAAAAACAAGCTCAGTATCAAGAAAAATTTATCATAAATCAGGTAAAAGAAATGAAAGGCAGTTATGAATATGAAATGAATATAAGACCATAAACATTCATTTTCAAACTTATACTTAAAGAATTGAACAGTCAGCTATTTTTGAGAAATACGTATATTGAAGGAAGTGAGAAAAACAGAACAGTTCCATGCTTAACAGCGGTCCTTTCTCTTCCTTTCCTTTCCTTTTTTTTTTTTTTTTTCGTATTATATCGCTGCCTTTTAATTTCAATAACATTTTCTCTCTTTTTTTTCCGAAGCGGCAGGGAAAAAAGGTTAGGAGAGGGTATTCAAAAAGAAACTTTTTTTTTCTTTTAAACACATGCAGTAACAGCAGTAACAGTTCTATCAAAACACATATTGTTGTCATTTTATTTCAAAAGAAAAACTGAAAGAAAAAAAAACTAGAATCCGTAAACCGATACACAGTTTTAGGGTACGAATTGATGACTGTTGACGGGTTACAAACAAACAAATAAATAAACAACCCCCCCCCCCCAAAAAAAAAGAATGTCTCCTTTATTTCCAAAACTGAAAAAAAAAATGTTTTTCGATAGAAAATTTTTTTAACTGGAAGAAATGAAAACAAAAACAGTTGCAGTAAATAGCAAACAACGAGTTGACCGATAATATTTAGTAACCAACGAAAATACTAAGAAAATTTGCGAAAAAAAACAACAATTTTTTTCTTTACTTTTTTTTAATGTTTTTTCTTCAATTTGGTAACCATTTGACAATAATTTCTTAGTGCTCAATAATAAAAAATAAGTTAAAAAGATTTGGTGGTGGTGGTGGCGGTGGTGGTAGTGGTATTCTGATGATCACCGACATATGATGAGCACAAAAATCAACAGCAACAACGACAATGACAATGAATTCGGAGAAATTCTGAAAAAAAAAAAAATAGAAAAATTTTTATTTAATAACTGCAAACAACACCAAAGAAAAAAAAAACGTCTCAAGTTTTTTTTTGCTAACCTTTCGCTTCCCCCGTCTTCTCATCTCTCTGTACCCCGCATTAAATCTGCTGAAGGTCCCCCCGGTTTCAGTTCTCATTTCGTCTGTCCCCTCTAATTCCCCCCTGCAGTTAACCCTACGTTGCATTCAGTTAATGAACCTTAATTGTTTCTAATGAAAAAAAAAGGCAGAAATAGCAGAGCAGAACAAAAAAAAATTTTTTTTAGTTTTTAAAACATTTTTCTAAACATAGATTTACTTAATTTGTTTGTCCGTATGTTTTTTTTTCGTTTTTGAAAACTAACAAACAGCAACATTTACTTCATTCGCCTCAACTCCATTTCTATAAATTTTTTCCCAGTACAGAAGAACAAAAAAAAAAGAAAATTTTTTTCATTCTTTGCCTCGGCAAGACATATAACAAAATTCAGTTAATCGAACAACAAAATGTCGTAAAAGGATGTTTTTCCAACTTTCAACTAATCAAACCATACAGAAGCAAAAACAACAATCGCTGTTTTCTGATGGAAAAAAACAACAGAAGATGAAAGAAAATGATGGTTTTTCCCTCTTCGGGTTTTTTTTTTTCTTGCTGCCATTTTGGTCCATCGTCTTCGACACCGTCTTCGGCCCTCTTCGTTTTCTTCTTCTTATTCTTCGTCGTTGTCTTCTTCTTCTTCTTTTACTTGTTTTGCTACAACTTATTGATGTTTTGGCATCAAAACTTTTGTTGATTAGCAATATTTTTGTTAAACTTTCCATCGAATTTCCTTCCCTCTTTCAGCCCATCTTCCATGTCTCCCATTTTCAAGCAGTTTTCTTCTTCAACAAATCTAGAGGAAACACTAATCTATTGTTTCAGATAATTCTTGTTTCATTTTTTTCTTTTTGTTTTTAGTTTTTACTTCGCTTACACTTTTTTCCCGTGTTCATTTTTGTTTTCACTTTTGTGCACCAAAATTGTTTGGTTTATATGGGTAAAATCGTTGTACGCTGTACTTTGTGTGGTTGGGAGAACAGCTTTTTTTCCAACACTTTTTAGCAACATTCTTTGTTGTTCAGTATTTATTTGTACAGCCAACAGCACACGTAAGCAAATGAATACAAAAGTTCAGAAGCACAAAAAAATGTTGCTTCTTTGAAACAAATTTGATGCAGGATAAAATGCTGTTGTCTTGTTGCATGATTCGGGCAATAAGTCAGATTGTTTTTTTGTTTTTCCTGATCCTTTTAACACCAGTGTCAACAAAACGGCAAAAAAAAGAGGTGAACCAGTAATAAACTATTTCTGTACGCTATTCTATTATTGCTTATTTGTTTTTCTTTTTAAGGGTTCCAAAAACAACAACTAACAATTGTCGGGAGAAAAAAGTGAAAATGGAAGAGGTGGATCTGGACCGTAGTGGGCTAATGGGAGCCGCAGTAGAGCCAGCCGGCCATACAGCTGTAAATTATTCTTTTTATATGCAATTATCTATGTGATGTATTTCATGTTCTGGTGCAGTAGTAGGGTCGTTAAGTGCTGTCTAAGATAAAAACTTTTTTGCATGTTTAGTTTAGCTAAGCTTCAAAAAAATGTGGTTATTTACTGCTGCCTGCAATGCAAAAATGTTTAAAGTTTGCTTTACAAGATCACCTGGTCAAATTTATTGGCAACAATTAATACTGCCGAAATCAGTGTATAAATTGAAAACGACCAAAACAATTCAGCTTTTTGCTTCACACTCTCTTCAATAAACCGAGAAGAAAAAACTAATAGTTAATTAATTAATGCTAACACTGATCTATCGAAATAATACACGTCTGTTCGTCTATTTACTCGTGACCAGAACTTTAGTGCTTCGGTCTTTTGAAGTCTGTCAATCATTGAAACCTTAAACAAATTTATATTTGACAATAAAGAAAAAAAAACGAATTTTTTTTCGATAATTGTAAGCCATATATGATACATAACAAATGTAGCACTGAAAACATTTTGAAGTCCGTCGACGTTGCTTAATTGTTGTTTTTTCATAATTTTTTGACTTTTTTTGGCTTCAAAATTAATGCAATTCTTCTTGTCAACCAGTAGCCGAGTAAGAGTTTATTTGAATTGTGCACATAACAGATCATTGTTGCAAACAGTATCCGGATTAACACGCGATCATAAGCTAAACTATTTTTTTTTGGTTATTCCAATAAAAATTACTGGCTTATTCTTATTCTGGTGGTACTCGACATTAGAAGAAAAAGAAACAATTTTGACATCAAAAGCAAGAAATTTTTAAGTCTTTATCAGTCATGTACCGTTTGTCAGAAAAATTTTGCTTGTTGCTTTTGTTGGTGTTGCTGTTCAATTCATGTTCAATTCAACAAAATAATATTTGTTTGACTAAAATCAAAAAAAAATAAAATAAAATAAATAAATAAACAAAAAACGAAAGAAAGAAGAAGAAAAAAAAATTTATTAGAAATGTTGCCGAATCAGTGCTGAATCAACAAAACATTAGTTTTTTCTTCTAAAAATTCAAACTATTTTTTTGATGTATTTACTGCTAACAAGAAATTGACATCATAAAAGAAGGAGGTCTTCTTTATCTTACATTTATTTTCCAAGTGATTTTTTTTTATCACATATTTCTTTATGTTATTATTGCCCTTTCTTTTTGCTTTTTTTTGGTTGTTGATGGTGTAAACAATTTTTAGAATTCAGTAACACCAGCAAATAGCCTAAAAACGGTGGAAGGTAAAAAGAATTCGGATCGAATCAGTTGTTCGAAAATTTCCGCACTTCTTCTGTTTTTGATCGTTGTGGCCGCTATAATACTTACTGCATTTGTAACCTATTGGATAACCAAAGGAATCTATGATCATTCGTCCGAATTTCACCCGTTCACTGCTGATGAGCTCTACGAAACGTATGCTAGATCAAGTGTATTTGCAACTTTTTTTAATTTTAATTTTTCGTTTTTCGTTTTCAGTTGCTAAAGTAGAAAATAGTGAAAAAAGGCAGCAAAAAAAAAAAAACTGAACACAGTTGATAGGTACAGTTTTTAGGACTACAGTTTCACAAAAGGAACAATACATTGATGAGGGTGACGGCGATCAACCAACAGCTGCTGAACTTCGGCTTCCGCGAACATTATTCCCCATTTGGTTAGTATTAAACCCCCGTATAACATTAACACAAGAACATTATATTTCTTTAGATAATTAGCATACTTGTTTCTGTTTTTTCTTTCTTTTTTGTAGATTTTAAAAGAGTTCTAAGATTCTTATCTTATTATAAACAACGACTGTATGCTGGAACAGTAAAGTCGACTACCTTCTGTTTGGTTTCTTTGCTCCCTTTTTTTTATTACTGTTTGGCTGACAATGATTAGGCATATTAGTGAAATCAATGAAGAAATAGTTTCTAATCAAAGGAAGAAAAACTAAATAAGTTACAATGATTTAGCAGAACAAAGGAAGTAGTACTAAATCTAATGTTTACGATATAATTGCAAATGCGATCGTCAAAAACTGTGTCCTTTTGTCCGTATCTAGTTCAAAAAAAATTTCTCCAGTGGAACTGTAAATTTTACAAAATTTTCAGTATCAATTCGTTTTATTATATTCAGACTAAATGTTTATCGTTAATTACAAAATAGTTTTTTTCCGGTTTTCCTATTCTGTCATGACAAGGCTTTATCATCTTTTTGTTCATTGCTGTGTTTTACTAGACAACATGAAAAGCTGTATCCTTCATTTTTTTTTATCAAAACTGAATTGTGAAAAAAAACAAAAAAAAAATTTTTTTTGAAAGCTTTCTTTCAAAAAAAGAATCTTTTAAATTTAAACAAAATTAGTACGGGTTTTTCAAAATCGAGAAAATTTGTATAAACTTATTTGAAGCCACTAAAGTCAAAAATTGTTTAGGTACAATGTTACATTTAAAACTTATCTGCCCGGATATGTCGATATTGAAGCGGAGAAAAACTTGACATTTGAAGCGGCAATGATAATGAAGTTCCGTGCCGAAGAAACTACAGATAAAATTGTGCTCAACTCATTAAAACTAACATTTCCACAGCCTAGCAAGATCAAAATTACTAAGGATATTCGTAAAGATGCCGTATGTTATTCAAACTAAAAATTTTACATGCACATTATGCCTTGATGCAAGAATTTTCATTCAAGTTATGCCTTGTGAATATCTGAATTGCGCTTACAATTAGTAGGAGTACTTAAAAA